CAAATCACCTAAGGTCAGGAGTTCGAGTCCAGCCTGACCAACATGGAGAAACCCCAGCTCTACTAAAAATACAAAATTAGCTGGGCGTGGTGGCGCACGCCTGTAATCCCAGTTACTTGGGAAGCTGAGGCAGGAGAATTGCTTAAACCTGGGAGGTGGAGGTTGTGGTGAGCCGAGATCGCGCCATTGCACTCCAGCCTGGGCAACAAGAGCAAAACTCTCAAAAAAAAAAAAAAAAGAAAGAAAGAAAGAAAGAAAGAAAAGATGAGACCAGGTGCGGTGGTTCACCCTGTAATCCCAGCACTTTGGGAGTCCAAGGTGGGCAGATCACTTGAGGTCAGGAGTTTGAGACCAGTCTGGCCAACACAGTGAAACTCCATATCTATTAAAAATACAAAAATTAGCCAGGTATGGTGGTGGGTGCCTGTAGTCCCAGCTACTCAGGCAGCTGAGGCAGAATAGCTTGAACCCAGAAGGCAGAGATTGCAGTGAGCCGAGATCAGGCCACCGCACTCCAGCCTGGGTGAGCACTCCAGCCTGTGTGACAGAACGAGATTCCATCTTGGGGGAAAAAAAAAGTGAGAGATGATTTCACTCGGACTAAAACAAAGTCACTACGTCCGCAACAGGATCTACCTCGCCACCAGACCAGCTTTGGGCTCTGGCAGGCCCACTTCAGGGCCTTGCCATTCTTGTCCTTTGCTCAGATAATCACCTTCTCTCTCTTTAAAAGTGTCACCGTCCTCCATAATCTCCTTCCCTCCTTTACCCTGCTCCTGTAGACTGCTTTATTTATGGTTATTTTTTTTTGAGACGAAGTCTCACTCTGTCCCTCAGGCTGCAGTGCAGTGTTGCGATCTTGGCTCACTGCAACCTCCACCTCCTGGGTTCAAGCAATTCTCCTGCCGTAGCCTCCTGAGTAGCTGGGATTATTGAGGAGTGCCACGATGCCTGGCTAATTTTTGTATTTTTAGTAGAGATGGGGTTTCGCCACGTTGACCAGGCTAGTCTTGAACTTCTGACCTCAAGTGATCTATCCACCTTGGCCTCCCAAAGTGAAGGGATTACAGGCTTGAGCCACCGCTCCCAGACTGCTTTACTTTTTTCCATAACTTCTTTTTAAACAGAGGCAGCGGTGGTAGGAAAAGGGGCGGCACGGGTCTCACTATGTTACCCTGGCTGCTTTCCAACTCCTGGGCTCACGCAATCTGCCCGCCTTGGCCTCCCAAAGTGCTAGGATTACAGACATGAGCCACTGTGCCTGGCGATTTTTTATTTTATTTCCTTTCTTATTTTTCAGAGCAGGAGTGGAAGTTTATTATTAAAAAGTTATAGAGTAGGAAAAAAAGGAAAGTGCACTTGGAAGAGATCCAAGCGGGTGACTTGGAGAACAAGTGCCACACAGCACTTCTGTCACTCTGGGCGTCAGGGTCCTGTCCACTTTGTATAGCTGCTGGCTTATAGAAGGTGCTCGATAAATCTCTTGAATTCAAAAATCAATTAGGATGTCTCTGTAGTGAAAAAGATACAGTAAAGATGAGGGATAATCAATTTTAAAAATGAGCAGTAAGTACAAAGCACTTTATTCATTCTTATGATACCTGTTGCTTTTTTGCTGTGTTTGGGTATACGCATGCCATGTCATAGTTTGTGGGGCCCTCAAAGCAAGCTGGGGAGAATATACTGAATTTAGCTTCTGAGACATGATGCTCTTCCTTTTTAATTAACCCAGAACTTAGCAGCTTACCTATTTCTCTAATGTCAAAACATCCTTAGACTGGGGATGATACTTGAGTGAAAGAATTTTGCAAGTATTAAATGAGCTAGCTTCTTTTTTTGTTTGTTTTTCTTTGAGACAGAGTCTTGCTCTGTCACCCAGGCTGGAGTGCAGTGGTGTGCGATCTCAGTTCACTGCAACCTCTGCCTCCCAGGTTCAAGCGATTCTCCTGCCTCAGCCTCCTGAGTACCTGGGATTACAGGTGTATGCCACCACACCCGGCTAATTTTTGTATTTTTAGTAGAGATGGGCTTTCACCATGTTGGCCATGCTGGTCTTGAACTCCTGACCTCGTGTCTGCCCACCTCAGCCTCCCAAAGTGCTGGAATTGTAGGCGAGAGCCACCACGCCCAGCAAAGAGCTTCTATCCTTCATAACCTGACAGGTGTTCTCCTCGAGTCCAGGGTCTCTCTGTCCTTTCATGGTGCTCCGCATCCCCTGGATGTGCCAGTTTCTGGGGGAAGACCAGTCCCTTGTTACATGTATGAGTCAGTGAACAGGGAGTAGGTGAATGACATTTGTGGAAAAGTTATTTCTAGAAGTTAGGTGGGCAGCTTGGAAGGTAGAGGCACTTCTACAGACTATTCCTTGGGCCCACATGTAGGTTCTTGAATCCCGAATGGAAAGGGCAGATTGATAACTGGTGTGTTTATGTTCTTACAAGTCTTCTGCCTTTTAAAATCCAGTCCCAGGACATCAAAGCTCTGCAGAAAGAACTCGAGCAATTTGCCAAGCTCCTGAAACAGAAGAGGATCACCCTGGGATATACACAGGCCGATGTGGGGCTCACCCTGGGGGTACTATTTGGTGGGTTCCCCTCAGCATGTTCTGACCACGTCTCCCTTCTAAGGAACATTCCTGAATCTAGGCCTTTTCCTCCCCATCAAGGAAGTGTGGGAGGCACAGGGGCAGACTCCATCCTCACCCATGAAGAGGAGTGGGGAAAGGGAGAAGATGCTTGGGCTTTGAGCTCCCTCTGGGAAGAGGTGGGAAGCTTGGATCTCAGGGTCACAAGGGCCCTGCATGCTCCCTCACTTTGCTTCTCCTTTGACTGGCCTCCCCCAGGGAAGGTGTTCAGCCAAACGACCATCTGCCGCTTTGAGGCTCTGCAGCTTAGCTTCAAGAACATGTGTAAGCTGCGGCCCTTGCTGCAGAAGTGGGTGGAGGAAGCTGACAACAATGAAAATCTTCAGGAGGTGAGGGTGGGAGGGGGATACATGGGGACCTTCCCTTTCTTGGCCTAATTTCCATTGCTTCCATCCCTAGCTTGTAGCTCTCCGTCTTTGGTGCAGTGGTTCTCAGTGGGATGGAGTAAAATTCCTCAGTTCTGCTGGGATAAGGTCCAGAGCCAACCCTTCCAGGATCCTGCCTTTTCACACCACCTGGCTTTGCTGACACATCTAGTCACAGACCCCCTTGATGCTGTTACTCAGCAAGTCCAAAGCTTGCCCTTGTCACCCCCTTCCCACCTGCACAGATATGCAAAGCAGAAACCCTGGTGCAGGCCCGAAAGAGAAAGCGAACCAGTATCGAGAACCGAGTGAGAGGCAGCCTGGAGAATTTGTTCCTGCAGTGCCCGAAACCCACACTGCAGCAGATCAGCCACATCGCCCAGCAGCTTGGGCTGGAGAAGGATGTGAGTGCCATGTCTCTCTGCGGGCTCCATCTCTTTCCCGTCACCACCTCGCTCTCCCTAGCTCTGGCTCCTCCTCCAACTGCTCTAGGGGCTGTTGGCTTTGGACAGAATGTCCAAGCAGAGTCAGGCCCGTCTCAGCTCATGGTCTAATGTCACTCTCCTTTCTGTCATCCACTTGCAGGTGGTCCGAGTGTGGTTCTGTAACCGGCGCCAGAAGGGCAAGCGATCAAGCAGTGACTATGTACAACGAGAGGATTTTGAGGCTGCTGGGTCTCCTTTCTCAGGGGGACCAGTGTCCTTTCCTCTGGCCCCAGGGCCCCATTTTGGTACCCCAGGCTATGGGAGCCCTCACTTCACTGCACTGTACTCCTCGGTCCCTTTCCCTGAGGGGGAAGCCTTTCCCCCTGTCCCCGTCACCACTCTGGGCTCTCCCATGCATTCAAACTGAGGCGCCTGCCCTTCTAGGAATGAGGGACAGGGGGAGGGGAGGAGCTAGGGAAAGAGAACCTAGAGTTTGTGCCAGGGCTTTTGGGATTAAGTTCTTCATTCACTAAGGAAGGAATTGGGAACACAAAGGGTGGGGGCAGGGGAGTTTGGGGCAACTGGTTGGAGGGAAGGTGAAGTTCAATGATGCTCTTGATTTTAATCCCACATCATGTATCACTTTTTCTTAAATAAAGAAGCCTGGGACACAGTAGATAGACACACTTATCTTGGTTTGTCCTTCAGTTACAGAGGTGGGGATGGGAATATCCAATGCTCATTCATACCCAAGTGAACCTGAAACCAAGGTGCCATTGAAACTCCTTAAGGTCACGCAATGTCAGAGGGAGAGGTGGGATTGCAGCTAAGTTTATTTGTACAGGGCCCTCTTATAGGCTAGTTCCCAAAAGCCTGTGACACAAGAGCTTTTGCCCATAGAATCAGTCACCATGTAGCTGTTACCTGTTCAGAGCTGGCTTTTTGCTTTCCCCACCCTACTCTGGAATTCTTCCCCCCCCGCCCCCCCCGCTCCCCCCAGACGGAGTCTCTCCCGCTGTCACCTAGGCTGGAGTGCAGTGGTCGGATCTTGGCTCACTGCAAGCTCCACCTCCCGGGTTTACGCCATTCTCCTGCCTCAGCCTCCAGAGTAGCTGGGACTACAGGTGCCGCCACCACTCCCGGCTAGTTTTTTTTGTATTTTTTAGTAGAGACGGGGGTTTCACCGTGTTAGCCAGGATGGTCTCGATCTCCTGACCTTGTGATCCGCCCGTCTCGGACTCCCAAAGTGCTGGGATTACAGGCTTGAGCCACCGCACCCGGCCCTCTGAAATTCTTAAATGGCTTTATACTTAGAAACCGTCTTATTTCTGTTGTACCTAAATCACCCCAACCAGAAACTTCTATTAATACTTTGTGCTTTCTTGATAACTTTGGTTTCCACTTAAGGTTTTTGCATACTCCGCCCATAAGTAACTCATTAGATACTAAAGTTTTATTCCTGGCTCTGCCACTAGTTCATTAGGGGTCTTTGCCCCAGAGTCATTTCCTCCATGTAAAAAAACCTGGGCTCATTAAATCTAGGTAGGAAAGGGTGGATGTGGCAGGTTGTAATAGAACAGGTCAAGATAAGGCTTTATTTCTACTGAAATGATGCTTTGACAATAGCTTGGCTTGGTGTAAGGCTCACAAAAGAAAATCACATGTACCACGTGTGGGTTAAGCAGTTTGATTCACACTGGACCAGGCCAGCCCAGTTGCCCTCTGCTGTGTCCACCTGTGGAGCGGAGCTGTGTCGCAGCCATCACACTGGTAAACTGCTATAGCTGGTTTACCAGGCTTTCTCTTCCCCTGATGGTACGGGTGAAGCCTGTAAATAAATCTTCTGCTATCTTTGTGAACTTAACCAAATCCCGGTTACCTTATTTAAGTGGAAATAGATCTGTTTTCCCTTAAACTAGAAACCTTAATTACCTGTATTCCTACCTCCAGCTCAACTCATATATTTGCACCTTTCCAGTAAGCAGGTTGGATTTCCATCTCTCCTCCCCTTTCCCTAAGATTCTGAATTAGTTCTCCAGACCTTGCCAAGTACATTCTCCCTGGAAAGCAAGGAATATCAAAGACCCACAAGAGTAAATACCCAGGAGTGAATGAAGCTGCTTGTCCTTGACTTAGAAATAAAAGCAAAGCTCTGAAAAGCCAGGTCACTACGATTTGGTCGGCAGCAGGACTAGCCACGGAGTAGGGAAGTTTTGGGGACAGGCCCTAGGTTTTCCCAGAATGCCTTGGGTGATGCCACCAAGAACCTTAAGAACTCCCTCTTACATTTTCCATCAGTTGCAGGCATGGCTTTTGCAACTGATAGGTGCTCTGACTACAGATATTCTGGTGTCCATGGCAACATGGCCTTATAGCTTGTAATAGTGGGAACTTCCAGCTCACTGGCAATTTCCTGGAGGTGGCAATATCTTTGGCAGGAAACCATCTCTTCTGTCAGCTTGGCCACCGGGGTCTGCTCCAGGCCCTGAATGAGTCCACATCAATCCGCCCTTCTTCCCTGTAGTCATTCCCTCCTGGGGAGGGAAGGGAAGGGGGGCATTTAGCAGACCCATTTGCTCGCTGCTGTGTCTACTCATGGGCAGGTGTGTCCAATGGTGCCTTGGTGGTGGACCTTAGGTCTGGATGCCAGCCCGGCACCCTGGGCATCGGAAGTCGGCCTCCCTGGCAGCCTGGATGCTGCAGCCAACACAGGCCACATGGAACCAGACGTCACAGCCATCACACTGAACCCAGGCCACTGTCTCTTCCTGGGGCAGGCAGCAACAAGGAGCTGCACAGGGCTCCCCGCCCCCAACTGCAGGGGGAGCCATGGGGGCGCTCACTGGGTACTTCCGAGGACGGCCACGTCGATTTCTGAAGGAAGTGACACAGACACAAGGGTCACTGGAAACCTGTAGGAGAAGGCCTAGACCTTGCCACCCTATGGCTGGTCATAGGGTGAGGCCACAGAGGCACAGTGGTCTGAGGACTAAGGTGAGCCTGGACTCTGTCCTTAAAAACACATAGGGTGGGCCTAAAAACCTCTAGTGTGAGCCTGGAAGTTCCCCATCCTTAGGCACTGGAAGAATGGGGTTAAAGCCATATGAATGTAAAGCAGGACATGCCCACTCCGGTTGTTTTATAAGCACTACCCCACTCCACCTCTCATTTTCTCCTGCACATATTTTTCTTTTCCTATCAGAGCTAACCCAGGTCTTGCCATTCCATCTATTCCACCTCCCATGCCCGTCCCCCAAGCAGGGGAACCTCCTCACAGCCTAGGGATACAAGGAATCAAAAGGCAGTAAAACACTGAGAGGGCCAAGTGAGGACTCTACTTACCCAGTGGGAGTCAGTGGGGCTTTGTCTACACGGAGTTTCTTCCTGGGCTCCGTAAGGACTGGTGGCGGGATCTCAGAAGGCTGACTCTCATCATCCAGTTCCGCCAACACTCGGTGAACAGATTTCCTCCGATTGCGTGGGGGTGGAGCAGAAGGGGTGGTCCCCACCTCCCCAGGTGGGGTGGGAACAGGCAGGCTCCTTGGTCCACCCCAACTAGGGGAGAAGGTGAGGGGCTGGGGCCGGAGCTTGCTGAGGCTGCCGATGGAGTTCAGGATCAGTGTGGCCTTGGGGGCAGGGGAGAGGGTGCTGAGAGGCCGCTGTGGAGCCCCCTGGGAGGGCAGCATAGGCCGGAAACCAGCCCCAGCCCGGGCTTCTCCCCTAGACCGTGGGATGGTAATGGCAGCAAAGTCCTGAGGCTTGACGCGTACTTGTTGGAACATGAAGTAGAACTCCGAGGGGCTGGTTCCTGGCGGCCCTTCAGGGCCAAAGGTCAGGAGGTCTCCATCACTCAATTCCAGCCTGTGACCTCTTGGGAGTCGGACATTATTGACCAAAGTACCTGTTGATGGTGGGGCACCAGGCAAATACGGAGGACAAGAACAGAAATGACCAGAGTCAGGAGTGCAGAAATCTGGCTCTGTCTGGTTTCTGGGGAAGAACATGAAACTGCTATCAGATTCTCCCTCACATCCTAAGCCCCTCAGCAGGTGACAGGTACCAGGCAGTACACTCCTTGTCAGCTGGGAACAAGTCTGTGTTTCTTGTGCTTTCCTACAAAGGATCCCTGCCCTCACTCTCCTAAGGTCCAATTTTCTTTCTTTTTTTTTTTTTTGAGATGGAGTCTTGCTCTATTGCCCACGCTGGAGTGCAGTAGCGCAATCTCAGCTCACTGCACTCCGCCTCCCAGGTTCAAGCGATTCTCCGGCCTCAGCCTCCTGAGTAGCTGGGATTACAGGTACGTGCCACCACATTTGGCTAATTTTTTTATTTTTAGCAGAGACATAGTTTTACCATGTTGGTTAGGCTGGTCTCGTACTCCTGACCTCATGATCTGCCCGCCTCAGCCTCCCAAAATGCTGGGATTACAGGCATGAGCCACCATGCCCCGCCCTAAGGTCCAATTTTCAAGTATGCTCACTCTCCCCCAGCTCCAGCTCCAGCTCGTTCAGATTCTAGCTCTATCACTTACCAGCTACGTGACCCTGGGCAAGCTTTTTGGTTTTTTTTGTTTTGTTTTGTTTTTTTGAGACGGAGTCTCACTCTGTTGCCCAAGCTGGAGTGCAGTAGCACGATCTCAGCTCACTGCAACCTCCGCCTCCCGGGTTCAAGTGATTCTCCTGCCTCAGCCTCCTGAGTAGCTGGGGTTACAGGCGCATTCCACCACACCTGGCTAATTTTTGTATTTTTTTTTTTCAGTAGAGATGGGGTTTTACCATGTTGGTCAGGCTGGTCTCAAACTCCTGACCTTATGATCCTCCCACCTCGGGATCCCAAAGTGCTGGGATTACAGGCGTGAGCCACCACACCCGGCCTTTTTTAAAAAATAAATTAATTTTTTGGTAGAGACAGGTTTTCACCATGTTGCCCAGGCTGGTCTCGAACTCCTGAGCTCAAGTGATCCACCTGCTTTAGCCTCCCAAAGTGGTGGATTACAGGTGTGAGCCACCATGCCCAGCCCTGGACAAGTTCCTTAATCTCTTTGTGCCTCATTTTCCTTTACTGTAAATGAGGATAATATTAGTGCCACTTACATTCAATACACTTAAAATAGTGCCTGGTTCATAACGGGAAGCACTAGATGAATGTTGGCTACCATAGTCTAATAACCACAACACTCCCACAACTGACTTTACCAAGAGGAAGAGGTTTTGCCAGGGGCCAGTGGCAGAACTCAAATGTGAATCTAGGCTTTCTGAGGCTAACTCCCTCTAGTCAGGGAGAAAGACACATGCCCAAATTACTAAAAACATTATTCAACATAGAACTGCCCTAACCCAGGAACAGAGGGCCTCAGCAAAGCTGGAAACTGAATCAAGTCTAAACTTGGCCTCTAAACATCCCCTCTGTGACATCTTTCTGATGATACCCCAGGTCCTGTAGGAGCTAAACGGGACCAACAAGCGTTGGTCTGCCAGAGAGCTTTTGACTGTGCATACTTCTGGTGGGAAGATGAAGGTCTGGACAATTACCATCCATCCAATCTGATGGGAGTACGGGAGGCAGGCAGCAGGGTCTTGTGGAGACCTTACTCATTCCAGCCTGGAACTTCAACCACCCAGGGGCAAAGCTGCCCTGCTTACTGCTCACCTTGGCTGCTGTGGTCTTCCAGGCTGACCCTCCAATCATCACCCCGGGGCTCGGCGTGCAGTTCGGCGTGGATCCCAGAGATGAGGCCAGGCTCCTGCTGGGGCCGCAGAGCCACATCACACAGGTCGGCCCTGTGGCCCAAGCGATAGGTGCAGCCAGCCCCGGCGGGGGGGTGGAAGGTGTAGAGATCACCGCCCCTGCCGCCCCCTATGCGCAGCAGTTGGAAGCAGGGCAGCATGGGCGGTGCCCCCTTTGCACCACCTCTTCCACTTCAGGGATCCATTTCCTTTCCCACTCCAGGGCCACGCACCGCTGGCTTAAGTTCGCTTCCTAGTCTGATGCAAACTCAAAAGTTTCAACTTTGAGCACACTACCTGAATAGTCCAAATTCAGAGTGCAAGCAGCCTAGGACTCAATGCAAAATCGGTTGTTAAGCCGACTTGCAAATGAAAAATTCCAGGAAGGTCTCCGTGCAATGCAAACTCAGGAACACGTCCTATGGCACCTCACTTGAGCTGGATCCTCAGGTCGCAAAATATTTGGGGAGCCTCCAATCTGCAAGGCAAGGATACTTTAGGCAGCTTCTGTGTGTGTCGGTGTGGCGGGGCGCGTTGGGGAGGTCCTGTTATACACACGTCTACGTGCAGTAGGAACACATCACCTCTGTGTAATTCGAAGAAGAGCAGCTTCTTCCTGTCAAACCTGCTTATCCTAATAGAGCACTCCTGCTTGCCTGCGCCCCGATCTTCTGGCCAATCCCTCACTCATAACTAGTTTGAACCTCCGAGGGCAATGAATCTACTGTCATCCCCCAAAAGGAAGTGCAAACGAGTTCTTAAGTACTCCAACAAATTGGACCTAAACCCCTACTTCCCGGTTTCTCTAGGTGGGATAAAAACAGAAAGGGGCTCCCCGCGATCATGCAAGGCATACCCGGCCTTTTCACTCTCGGCCCCAGCCCCGTTTCGGATCTACCAGCGCGGTGCAGTCTCCGAGTAGCCTCCTCTTCAAGCAGTGCCAGCCTGTGCCGCGGGTCCCGGGACCCCCTGGGCTCCTCGGCTGGAGCCGATACTGCTGCAGCTGTTTGACAGCCAGGAAGCCGGGGCCAGGAGGGGCGCGGCCTCGGCGCGCGGGCAGCGCCTACCCCTCCTTCGGAATTCCCGGGCCCGAACTTCGCGCCGAGCGAGCCCGCCCCCGTGCCGTTTCTGATTGGCCAGCTCATTTGCTCTCTTCCGCGCCATTGGACGGCTTCCCAAGATCTCCCGCCTTCCGCTTTTTCTGATTAGTTCACAAGTTTTCCCGGGTTCCCGCAGTGGGGAGGAGCCGCCTGGGCGCGGAGATGCGTCGACACATTCTGCGGGCCCAGATTTAGACGCCACTGCGCCTGCGTACACCTTTCCTCCTCCCTACAGTGAAATAGGACCTTAGGGCGCCCGCCTTGCGCAGGCGCGGTCAGAGGCCGAGGCAGAGGCGGGGCCCGGAGCGAGGCGTAGCGGGTGTGGTCAAGGCGCAGTAGGGGTTCTCGCGGTGGGTAAGGGACGTTCGGGAAGAGTCGGTTGTGGGCGGGAAGGGGCTGAGCGGGGGTGCTGGGAGGGTTCAAGGGGTCCAAAGGGGAAGGGGGAACAGGGGCCAGGTGAAGGGGTAGATGAGGAGGTCAGAACAGCCTTAGAGCTCAGGGGCCAACTGGGTGAAGCCTCGGGTATCTAGGGGAGCAGTGCGGGGAGAGCAGAGCCGGCTAGCGTACAGGGGGCGAGAGCAGACTATTGAGAGATGGGGGTGAGGGTGAGGACCAGAACAATTCCTTCAGAAAAAAGTAGATTAGGATGTAAAAAGGGACCGGAGTAGGGATCCCAGATTCGGGTAAAAAATAGATTAATGAGGGTGGGAGGGTGGGAGGAAGGTCTTAAAGTGCCCACTATGTGTTAGGACTCGAGAAAGAGGAGGCGGGCGGCAGGCATGGAAGCTGAGGGGATAGTAGAGAGAAGCTGAGAGGACAGCCGGAGGAAAGATTTGGATGAGATGTCAGGACGCTGGCTTTTCTGCCTGGGGATCTAGGCTGCTTGGATTCCCAAGGTCTTGGGAAGGGTCTAGCCCTGCATGTGGCCACATTCAGCTGGGGCCAGGCCTTGGGCCAGCACTTTAATAGGGAAGGACCCAAGAGTCATGGCCTGGTGGTGTCTGGATGGGATTCCCCCAGGCCTTGCTGAGCCATGGAGAGAACTCTGGAGATGGCGCTCAAGACCCCTGCACTGTGTACCTCCTTTCTCACCTCTGGCCAGGGGCAGCAGGGACCATAGAAACTTAAGGAGGAGGGTAAAGGCACTGCCCAGAATCCTGAAAGTATGAGTAAAGCCTCAGAGCCCCTCTCGGTCTATCTTTTTCAGTAAATTCTCTCCACTTGATAGTTAGTTGCCTGGGTTCCATGAGGAACCAGGTTGAGACAAGCAAGTGAATTTGGGGTATCTCCTACTTCTTTGGGGAAGTAGGAAAAGAGCTGAGCATCGGGTGGACCTGGCTGTAATTCAAGGATTATGACTTTGTTATTGTAGGGGCTTTCTCTTTGGAAGGTGGCCTGAAAATTGAATTGGAGTGTCTTTGTTTCTCCTATTGTCCAGGGGAACATAGATGGCTGGAGACAGAATCTAGAGCCTTCAAATAATGTGGAGATGTTTCCACCTTCAGGTCAGTGGGACCAGACAAGGGGAGTGCTGGTTGTCTCTGCCTGGGAAACTGACCATCTTTGATTTTGTAATTCTTCAGGTTCCACTGGGCTGATTCCTCCCTCCCATTTTCAAGCTCGGCCCCTTTCAACTCTGCCGAGAATGGCTCCCACCTGGCTCTCAGACATTCCCCTGGTCCAACCCCCAGGCCATCAAGATGTCTCAGAGAGGCGACTAGACACCCAGAGACCTCAAGTGACCATGTGGAAACAGGATGTTTCCAGTGACAGGCAGGAGCCAGGGCGGAGAGGCAGGTAGGGATCCATCCTCGCTGTTTTCTCAGGCTGGCTTGCTAGTGACCCTTCTTCACTGGAATAAACTCCTTACCCTATTTCGGCCCTAGTTTCCAGAATGTACTCATTTTTATGCAAGCAATTATTAGTTCCTACAGTGCTTAGATAATAAAGCAGTGTGGTAGGTGCTAGGGATGAGGATAACAATAATGAATAAGACAAATCCTGACTTAAATTTGTAATTAATAAGGAATCTAAAATCCTAAGAGAGGAGATAAGATTGACCATCAACTGATGGTAAAGCATAGTATGAGGCAAGATGAAGAAGTGCAAACTAGAAGTAGAGACCCAGCCCTGTGGCAGTGTGGGTTCATTCTGATGGAAGAAAGCCTTTACAGAGGACATGCTATGGGAGCTGGCCATGCTGTCGTATTGTCTGTAAACATTCTTCTTCTTGTTTCATGTGTCTTCCCAGATGTACTGGGATATCATTCTGCCATTTTGCTCCAGAGTAGGATTACATTAGAAGCAGCAGCACGATGAAGAAGAAGGAGCACTAGACTGGGTGTCAGGAGACAGAGACTCTATTTCTAGTTTGGCTACCAGCTAGAGGACATTTGGCAAGTCAATTTCCCTAGCCTACAGATCCCTGATACTTAAAAATAAATGAAGAAAATAAAGAAAAGGCCAGGTATGGTGGCTCACACCTATACTCCTAGCACTTTGGGAGCTGAGGCAGGAGGATCACTTGAGCCCAGGAGTTCAAGACCAGCCTGGGCAACAAAGCGAGACTTCGTCTCCACAGAAAATAATTAGCTGGCTGTGGTGACATGCATTTGTAGTCCCAGCTACTCGGGAGGCTAAGGTGGTAGGATCGCTTGAGCTCAGGAGTTCAAGGCTGCAGTGACCTGTGATCCAGCCACTGCATTGAGGCCTGGGTGACACAGTGATACCCTGTCTCTAAAAACAACAACAACAATCTCCTGTGGTTTGGGTGTCAGCGAGACAGCTGCCTCAGGAGCCACGTTCCAAGCTGGATTAAACTTCACGTGATATTGGTAGACAATGTCTCCAAAGGCTGGTACTATGTTATTTATGTACTGTTCTCTCAGACTCCTCATAAAGTATACCTAACACTCAGTAAATGCATTTTAACTAGCACCTGGCCTCACCATATTGATACTGGAAGCTCAGCTCTCTCTATGCCCATTCCTCCCTCAAACTTCTTGCCCTTAAATCAGAATTGAGAAGTCTCTGTTCTTCCAACCTTTCCACTTAAAATGTGTGACCTAAAAGTAAAAAATAAATAAGACAAAAAAACACCAAAAAACAAAAAGAATGTGTGGCCTAATGATATACACATTTGATGTTGAATCTGTCTGTATGTAGCTCTCTCTAGGGAGATCATGTTTCATGATCTCAGCCAGACTTTAGGTCCTGTGAGTCCAGGCACTGGACTTAACATGCTCAATAGGGCTTTGATGAATGATGATGATGTCAGTGCAGACATCCCCATGCCCCAGCTTCAGCACCCCCTTCACCTCCTCACACGGGGGCAGAGAGGTCCTCTTTTCCTTCTGGCTATGTTTACACCCTCAACTATCCTTCCAGCACTGGAGACAAGTCTCACCTGCACTAACCTGTCTTTGAAGGTCCTGGGAGCTGGAGGGGTCACAGGCCCTGAGCCAGCAGGCTGAGGTGATCGCTCGGCAGTTGCAAGAACTGCGGCGGCTGGAGGAGGAGGTCCGGCTCCTGCGGGAGACCTCACTGCAGCAGAAGATGAGGCTAGAGGCCCAGGCCATGGAGCTGGAGGCCCTGGCACAGGCAGAGAAGGCCGGCCGAGCTGAGGCTGAGGGCCTGCGTGCTGCTTTGGCTGGGGCTGAGGTCGTCCGGAAGAACTTGGAAGAGGGGAGCCAGCGCGAGCTGGAAGAGGTTCAGAGGCTGCACCAAGAGCAGGTGAATGCAGGGGTGGGAAGGATTTAAATTCATAACGGAGAGCTGGGCAGTAGCTTCCAAGCAAAGAACAGGTATTGCAGAAAAGACTCTCCATGAGTAGTGAGTAGTGGAGTGATGAGACCTTTGGTGAAAAGAAACACACATGGCCTAGAAAGATGGAGAATTTGGGTATTTTGATCTTAATTCAGGTTGCACTTTTCCCCCAAGACTCAGGTGGTCTGCCACGACTTGAAGCCCTGCTTCCTTTTCTAGTAGGAAGTAGTTTGCCTCCCTGCTTTACTCCGGCTACCAATTCATCGGGGGTATTGTGGAGGGCGGTGAGGAAGGTGGATATAAGGGGCCTCTGGTGGACTGGGAGAGAGATTATTCAGTCCACAAACTCAGTGTTTACTCTTTGCCATCTCAGACTCTGACCAAATTAGCCTGAATCCTGCCTTCATGGATGGAACTGACAGCCTCATGGGGGATACACACATCCACTTTTAATTTAATCATAATTAATTGCAATCAGGAGGAGTGCCTTGAAGGCGAAGGACTAGAGAGCACTAACTTAGTCTGGGGTTCAGGGAAGGCCACTGTAACCAATTGGACATGTCAAGGAAAGAAACCATAAGGCCGGGCGCAGTGGCTCAAGCCTGTAATCCCAGCATTTTGGGAGGCCGAAGCAGGTGGATCACAAGGTCAGGAGTTCAAGACCAGCCTGGCCAACATGGTGAAACCCCATCTCTACTAAAAATACAAAAATTCACCAGGCATGGTGGTGCACACCTGTAATCCCAGCTACTCAGGAGGCCGAGGCAGGAGAATCACTTGAGCCTGGGAGGTGGAGGTTGCAGTGAGCCGAAATTGTGCCATTGCACTCCAGCCTGGGCAACAGAGCAAGACTCCGTCTCAAAAAATAAAATAAAAAAGGAACTGGGAGAAAACAAGGGAGAAATTCTTTGTAACCTTGTAGTGGGCAAGGCCTTTCTACCTGTGAGTCAAAATCCAAAATCTAGAAGCCGTAAAGGAAAAGATTGATCCATTGACTTTATAACATGAACATTAGGAATGGCGTGGGGGAAAAAAAAAAGCTGTATTTATAGCTCAGATCACAAGAAAAGGGTAATATCCCTAATATAAAATGTGTGCCTAGAAATTGATAAGGGAAAGACCAGCAATCCAGTCAGAAAGTGGACAAAGGAGATTCATGAAAGAAACTTAGAAACAAGAAGCTAGGCCGGGTACAGTGGCTCATACCTGTAATCCCAGCACTTTGGGAGGCTGAGGTGGGCAGGATCACTTGAGGCCAGGAGTTCAAGACCAGTCTGGCCAACATGAAGAAACCCAGTCTCTACAAAAAATACAGAAATTAGCCGGGTATGGCGATGGGCGCCTGTAATGCCCCAGCTTCTTGGGAGGCTGAGGCAGGAGAATTGCTTGAACCTGGGAGACAGAGGT